CTGTAGCTTTTACTAGTGCTGCTTCTTGTCTAGGATCCTGTTTGAGGTCCGAAGACTACTAAAACCTTTTAGGTGCAACTGCTAGTCCCAGGTGTCCTTTTATGAGGACTAAGAGACTCCTGATAAACTGTTCATACCTTTAAAACATTTCCTAGCCTTATATCTGTTTGAGGAGTCTTTTATTAGGCCCCATTCACACGTGCGAATAGGGCCATGTGCAGTCATACAAGGTGTAACAATTTAATTCTCAGAATGCTCACAGCATAGCACTATGATGGTTTGCACTCGAGTGTGTTCGGACAAGTTCTAATTTGCACTAGCCTGGGTTGCAGACCAATTGACTCTATGGAGTAGTAAAAGAAATAACGTGTGCTGTGCTGTTGGTGGAAAATGAGTGACAGGAATTAACATCTAATTTTGTGTGAAACTTGGCGAAAGTGTGAGTGAAACTTTAGCTCTGTTACAAAAGATTTATGGTGAATATCCCATGAAGAACTCACGTATTTTTGAATTGCAAAGGTAGTTAAAGGAGGGATGGAAGAAAAGTGGGCAGCCGAAAAATGCAAAGGACAGATGCAAATATGGACAGAGTATAAACCTTCATACAGTCAGATCGAAGATTAAGCATGCGAATGATGACAGAAGAATTGAACATGAACAGGGATTCAATGTGGCAGATTCTAATGGAGGATATGGGAATGAGATATATTTCTATAAAGATGAATGAATCTTGACAGAAGATCAGAAAGAACGCTGTCTTCAAATTCTATCTGATATTTTGTAGTATACAGAGGTGTTTGATATTTTTTTTTTCTACAGTCTATTCTGGGAATTAAATTGTCCTTATTTCTTTATTGTACATCACGGGACACAGTGCAGAACGTAATAATGACTATGTGGGTTATATGCCACCTATAGATGAATGGACATTGGCCAACCAATCAAAAAGGAAGTCCTCCCCCATATAACCCCTCCTACACAGGAAGTTTTTTTCGCCAGTGTCTGTAAGGTGGATTTTTACTGAACATGTGCTGCATGTTCTCTGTGAAGCATACTGGGAGGTCTGGAACGATTCTACGGAGAGTAAAGGGCCTCAATTTGATCCATTTGAAAAGCTGTTAGCCAAAATGGATGGTACCCGAGCTGGAGAAGAATCCTTGTGGTTTTATCTGTAATGCAGCTTTACGGCTCTGGACCCTGCGTTTTCAGAATCCTGTGCCATTTGGTCTGACAAATGCGATTCTGACAGGGTGCTATATGGGTCCAAGGAGGTGGCCTCCATTTAAAAAGGGGGACTGAGCCTTTGAAGGTCTTTAGGACAAGGCCCGCCATGATGGGTGAAGATTGGACCCTGACTAAAAGTTCAGGGGTATGCGGTGGCATTGGCAAGTGTTTATTTATATATATATATATATATATATATATATATATATATATATATATATATATGTCTGTCTTGGGATGCCTGGGAAGACCACCAGGGAGAGTACTTCTTTTTTTTACCTGCACTTGCCTGTGCTACCTATTTTTGGCCACTTGAGGGAGTCTATTGCAGTGGAGACCACGTGGGGACATCAGCGGGGAGACACTATTTAGGCAAAGGTGTTTCTGCCTCCAGGAAGGGGTCGCTCCCTGAGAGATCAGGTTCAGAGATTGAGGAGCAGGAAGTATCCTTCCATTTGTCTCTGCATAAGGTTAATGGGGAAGATGGTATCCTCATTCAAGGTAGTACCTTATGCGCAGTTTCACTCAAAGCCTTTGCAGAAGAATATTCTGTCGGCATGGAACAAAAAGATTCCAGTGCAGGATTACCGCATGTCTTTGTACCCTTGTGTGATCTATGCCACCTGTGATTTGGAAGCTGGTAACAACTCATGCCAGCCTCTCAGGTCGGGGGGCTGTTCTAGAAGGGACCACAGTCCAGGGGACATGGTCACCGCAGGAAAAGATCTTTCCCAAAAATATCCTGGAGTTCGGGTGGTGCAGCTTGCCCTGAGATATTGAACGACCAGGCTTCACTCAGGGTCTAGTCTGACAGTGCTACAGTAGCGGTATGCATCAACCACCAAGGTGGCACCAAGAGTCGGAGGGCTCAGGAGGAGGTAGATCACATTCTGGCTTTTGCAGAGAAGGGCATGTTCCAGTTCTGTCAGCAGTATTCATTCCAGGGACAGAGAATTGGCAGGCGGACTACCTCAGTTGTTTTTCATGGGAATGGGCTCTGCATCGTGAGGTACTCTCGGCAATCTGCCAGCATTGGGGGGGTATCCGGACGTAGCTCTATTGGCATCCAGGTTCAACAGCAAGGTAGACAAATTTGTGTCCAGGATGCGGGATTCTCTTGCGATGGGGGTATTGGTGATACCGTGGGAAAAATTTGCCCTAATCTATGCCTTCTCCTGATTCAGATGCTCCCGCGGCTATTATGCAGGATTCAAGGCAAGGTGATTCTGGTGATAATCGTGGCACCAGCCTGGTCCAGGAGGGGTTGGTACGCGGACATTGTCAGTCTAGCAGTGGGCGATCCATGGCATCTGCCAGATCAGTCAGACCTGCTGTCTCAGGGGCTTATATTGCACCCAGCATTACGGTTGCTGAATTTGACGGCATGGCTGTTGAGACCCAAATCTTGAAGGATAGGGGAGTGTCAGACTTGGTTATCCACACAATGTTGAATGTTTGGTAGCTGGTTTCTAGGAACATTTATTATAGAACTTGGAAGGCATATATTTCTTGGTGTGAAGGTCGAAATTGGCACCCCCGGAAATATTTGATTGGGAGAATTATGTCTTTTTTCCAATCAGGAGTAGAAAAGAAGTTGGCAATTGGTACTATTAAGGGTCAGGTTTCAGCCTTGGCTGTTTTCTTCCAAAGACTTCTTGCTTCTCTCACTTTGGTTCTTACTTTTTTTTTACAGGGAGTGATGCGGACTGTTTCTCCTGTCAGAGAGCCCCTGTGTCCTTGGGGCTTGAATTTGGTCTTGGCAGTTTTACAGAAACCGCCATTTGACACTAACAGGGAAATTCAGTTCTGCTAATTCCAAAAGTTCTGTTTTTGGTGGCAATCACCTCTGCAAGAAGGGCATCGGAGCTGGCAGCTCTTGTAGGGAACCATTTTTGGTTTTAAATCAGGATAAGGTGGTGTTACAGCCTCATCTGTCCTTTTTGCCAAAGGTGGTTTCTAGTTTTCATTTCAATCAAGACATTGTTCTGCTTTCATTCTTTCTTAGGCCTCAGTCGGCAAAAGAAAGCTCTTCGCATGCTTGAATGCGGTTCAAGCAATAAGGGTCTTTTTTGAGAATGACGACGCAGATTAGAAAGACAGAAGTCCTCCTTATCAACCGATGATATCATTGGTTGTTAGGAACAATGTTGTTATATAGGTAGCCAATTTTTAAGGTGAGTATACCACATACCTATCCTGGCTAAGTATAGGACCTTATATTATTTATCAATGTCTGGGATGCCTATACCCCAATCTGATTTGTGCAGGGTCAGTAGAGAGAAGTTCAGCCGAGATATGCTGGTTTGTCCCATATGTAAGAGCTTAGCATAGAATGCAAATGACTAAAGTACACTCGGGGAATATGTATAGGAAGTGTCTGAATAAGGTAAAGGAGCCAAGGGACAATGGTCATTTTGAATGCATTGCATCTCCCGAAGCAGGTCAACGCAATTGATTGCCAGTTGTGCATGTGAGTTCTGATTTTTCCTAATAAAGGGCAAAAATTGGCATCATAAAGATCAGAGAGGGGTAAGTTTGACTCTTAGGTATTTAACATGCGACTGAGCCCACTGAAAGGGATACTTTTCCTTCAGCTTCTGGACCAAGTCTCTGGGAGGAAGATATTCAGGGTTTTGGTCTTACTATAGTTGACTTTGAAATTGGACAGAAAAGATACAGAAGGGCAGGGAGGGCCGAACCAGGGTTAGAGATAAGAGACAGGATTTGTTGGCATGGTGCATAACTTTTCAAAGGCATTTGACAGGAGTCTCATAGGCAAATTGTCACTTCCTGATTGTCTGTTTTAGCTCTTGAAAGTCTGCAGCATTGTGACACAACCGCTTGCACTATAAAAGGTTCTGAGGTGGTTGCAGCTCAGCCTCATTCACTTGAAGGGGTCATGTTTGGTGGCAGTACTGCTTGCCGAACGTAACCTGTGGTATAATTTTTCCACACTGCGGCAATGTATATTAATATAGCTTATGGCCATGTTAACTTGTGGCTGGGGGGTAAGGGGGGTCAGTAAACACGTGGCTCAACCATTTACTTTTATCACCACCCATGTAAACAAAGCCTGAGTAAATTAGCCTGATTATGCGAGACTGCTAGAAATCCTTGTTGTTACATTACCTTTTACATCATCACAGCAAGATCAATTCTAAAAGTTTAAAGGAAAAGGGAATGAGCAGCACAGAAAAAGGTAAGATAGCGTAAAATCAATAAACCAAACCTGTATCTACCAGAAGACAGTCTAAAAAATACTTTTCCTTCATTTGCCTGAGGGGACTCTGAGGGCTGCAGGTTGGGCACCAGGGGTTTTAAACTATTTATTCCATAAAGGTATGACTGCGTAAAATGCTATTGTATATTTTATTAAGTTTATTTGTTCATTACTATGATTTTGTGAAATATCAGGTCCCATTTTAGGAGACATTCATTCAGGGAAAATGCCTTAGGGTTCACAACTGTTTTTCTGTACATGCTGCTAGTAAGATTGTAAAATTTCAGCATCCGCTACCTCTGTGTTACAAGAGCATAAAATATTAAAAGTGCATGCTGTACTCGCTGCCCCTAAGCAGCAGTAACATGCTTGGCTGCACAAATATTTGCCTAATCTGAATAACAGTTCTCTTGATAATATTCTGCTGTTAATTAAATTGCAATCATAACAACTCACTGTAAGCTTTACTAATTCTAGATGCTTCCGCTCCATGCACATTATATTAAAATCACATTAAATCATTTAGTACCAATCTAATGCAAATCCTTTATCCTAGAGTGGCATAAAAGGGAACCAACTGTTCACTTGGCTGTTATTGGACCAATGGTAAGTACAGCTTTAGACTTTTCTAGAGAATTACTAATCTGGGATTTAAATGCATATATTTTAATATGATTTTATTGTTTTTACTGGTAGTAATTTTTTTCTTTGTATTGATTCTGCGGTGGGTTTTTTTTTATACGTTTGGCTGTTTTTATTACTTTTTTTGCTAGGTCAGAGACTGGCTTATATTCAAATACAGCCCCAGAAATTCCACTTGCGAGCTCCTCAACACACTTGTCATAGGAAACATGTTTCCTATATATTTATATATATGAGTTTTACTGCCCCCTCATTTCTTCTGATCACCTCCTGGAGGACCTGGTACTTGAGCAATCTCATTACATCATCAGAGAAAATAAAAAGCAGTTTGTGATGCTAGATTGATGCTAATGAAACTAAGGTTTACCTAAGCACAGTAAAATCCAACATGGTGCATGCATCATGTGGACAAGTCATCAGATAATAAGGATAAAAGTAGTTTTAACAAGTTATGGAATCACAGTTGCAGTAAGTTCAGTTTTGAGAAAAAGGTTGCAGCTACCTAGTTTGTATGTAGTGTGTGAGTATAAATTCATAGACAGAATGTTCCCTCAGACAAATGTGAGTCAAAAAATGTTTAACTAACAGGATTTATTCTGTATAAAATGCTAAGCCATGAATATCTGTTGGCACAGCTGAAGGGAATATTGGAGATCATCCAGGACAATTATCTACATAAACATCCCCTACCTTAAAATTGTTGGCCCTGTTACCTTACGAGAATGACTTGGCTGGAGAGTCCATCGAACCTTTGGTTGCAGGTCATAGAGTGGGGTCTTATTGTAGAAAAGCATTTTTGTAATTCAATAAAAATGATTACTTCAGCAGTTTGCTCTAAACTGTTGTAGGAAATGTTTCTCTTCACTTTCTCATTATGAAAACCTGGCGGCAGCTACATTTTCCTTTCTAGTTTTGGTCAGCGTTGAGGTTTAGAATCTCTTTCAGACTTCAGATAGTATTCTTTACAGAGTTATTTCCTATCAGTCCTTAGATGTTCCAGGAAGTTAGGGGGACTCTTTCCAACATGTGTATTTCTTTTCAATCCCTAGTACAGGGTTTCTCAATCAAAAGTTGTCAGGGGTTCCTTGAGCAGTGACCAATTTTTGCCTCTTAGATAAGTTCCCACTGACACCAATTATCTTTTTAGCTATCTGTAAGGGGGTAATCCTTCCCAATGACCACAAATATACGGAGCATTCTTCCCACTGACCATTACACTAATGCATCATGAGTTATTATGTAGTAATCTTTAGCAGGGGTTCCCTGAGACCCAAAACTTATTTCAAGGGTTCCTTTGTGTTGAGAAAGTCTGCCCTAGTAGGTCACAGGGAAGTAAGGGGAACTTTTTCCAACATGGAATTTTCCTCTTGTTCTCAGCTGGTTATAGAAAATGGGGAATATTTCCAACAGGAATAATTCCTCTTTGGCCCTGGGTGGTTGCAGGAAGTGAGGGAGACTTTTTCCAGCACTCCCTAGATCCCTGCTGCGCTCCGGACCTTAGTTTCAGTCTGAAGCACAAAGGGGCTTCACACACTGAATGCCAGTGCCTTCGGGACATCGGCCCATGTGAAACTGCTAGGACTCAGACAGCTGTTTACTGAGTGTTCACTGACAACTGCATATGTGTAAAAGTACCAGCTTGTTATACAGGAGCAATGCCAAATTGGAACTTTGCAGCATTTACCTGCCCCCTACACACATCTTTCTGCTGTCCATTTACATCTGTGGCCAACTGCTCCCCCGACTGCTTGCGTTCTGACAGCAGAAAGATGCATGTATGGAGTGGGGAAAGCATACCGGGCAAAGTCTCGATCTGACAGCGATCCTATATTAACAAGCTGGTCGCTGTCTTGGTTTTCCTTCCTCAAGTGAAACTCTTACAGTCATGGCCAGTCTTCCCCAAGTTAGAAAACTCCAGCCGTGGCCATCTATCCTGTCAGACTGATCTAGTCCTGGCCATCTACCCTGCCATCAGACCACTCCTCCCTAACTAACACATCTGCAGCTTCCAGGGATCACTGGTATGAATGGCTTTGTTTATATTCTGATCCATTCATAATGTGTGAATGTGTTTTAAGGTGAACAAAGCCATTCATGTGAGTATAAGGAAGTGAATTGAGGATAATTATGACTCACCATTGTACTCAATTCAGAGATCAGTATTATGAAAAATCCAAACAAAAATGAATTAGTTGTGGCTCAGTTTTACTGCTCCCTGACTGCCCGCCTGAACACTAATATATGCCTGCTCATGGCTATGACAAGACCTAAACAGCTGTGACATGTTGGAACCACACTGCAGTGCCCGCAATTGTGGCATGATAGTACAGCAATGGCGGGTTAAATCAAGTGCTGAGGAGGCAACATATCCAAGGGTGTGGATCATTTTTCAGCAGAGCAGCAGTGCCTGGCGCATTTGTAAACAAGTCCTTAATAATAAAGATCTATGATTAAAGTGATACTAATGCGAAAAACTCTTTTTTACTTCAATGCATTTCTTGCATTAAGGTAAAAAAATGTTTTCTATTTCTCTGCTCTCCCCCCCTTTTCCCTGTGTAAAGTCAAATAGAGGGGAGAATAGATCCAACCCTGTGTATGGCTGCATCTCTTCTCTCTTCTCTTTCTCTGCACACAGCACTTGAGCAGAAGCAGGAGCCATTGGCTCCTGCTACTATCCAATAAATACAGTGAGGAGGAAGTGAGAGTTGGGGCTAAGTCCCACTGTGTAATTCTATGGATCACGGCTCCATAGACACACAGCTCGGGAGCACGCAGACACTGTGTGCCCCCATAGCAAACGGCTTGCTATGGGGACACTAAGAAGAGGAGGAGCTAAGATCGCTGGTGGGGGACACGAGAAGAGGAGGAGGATCGGGCCACTTTGTGTGATACCACTGCACAGAGAAGGTGAGTATAACATATTTGTTATTTTATTTAACCCCTTGCCTACCGGCACTTTCACCCCCTTCCTCCCCAATTTTCAGCTTTCAGCGCACTTTGAATGACAATTGCGCGGTAATGCAACACTGTACCCATATTAAATTTTTATAATTTTTTTGAGACAGATAGAGCTTTCTTTTGGTGGTGTTTAATCACCACTTGGTTTTTTTGTTTTTTGATAAACCAAAACAACTGAAAATTTTGAAAAAAAAAAGTTTTTTTTCTTAGTTTCTGCTATAAAATTTTGTAAATAAGTAATTTTTCTCCTTCACTGATGTATGCTTATGAGGCTGCAGTGATGGGCACTGATAGGCTGCACTGATGGGCACTGATAGGCGGCACTGATGAGGAGGCACTGATGGGCATTGACAGGCATCACTGGTGGGCTATCACTGACGGGCACTGATAGGCAGCACTGACTGGCACTGTTAGGTGGCACTGACTGGAACTGATAGGAGACACTGATTGGCAGCATTCATAGGTGGCACTGACTGGCATTCAAAGGTGGCAATGACTGGCACTGATAGGTGGCACTGAAAGGCAGCTCAGATGGGCACTGATATGTGGCATTGATGTGCACTGGTAGGCACTGATATGTAGCATTGATGTGCACTGATGGGCACTGACAGGTGGCATTGATGGACATTGACAGGTGGCACTGATGGGGCTACACTGATCATCAGGGCACTGATGATCAGTGTAGATGTCCCCTCTGAGGAATACCGCTTACTTGTGAGGAGAGCTTGTGAAATGCCGATAACCAGCATTTCCTTATTTACATGTGATCAGCTGTGACTGGACACAGATGATCACATGACGGAGCTGAAGTCATCGGCTCTTCCCGTTGATCGGTGATTCGCTGTGTCCCAGGGGCATAGCGCGCTACTGATCGTCATACTGCATGCCCCCAGGGGCGTGCATGTACGGTTAGATTTGGAGGACATCATATGATCTCCTCCCAGAATGAGAGAACCGCCTTGCTCCTGTCATTTCCTTAAATGGCGGGCGGGAGGTGGTTTAAACATTTTTTTTTTTAGTTTAGTAACACTTTAAGCCTGCGAGAGGGGTGAAATGTTTTTGAGATGGTGACAACATGTGTTGTCCGTTTGAATAAAGTAAGACAGAAGAAAATAAGATCATTGTTGTGCGGCCTCTATGTTTCCTGTACACGGAGCGAGGACAAACTCCCAGGATCATCACCCAGATTACCTGCAGCTGAGGGGATTATGGAGATCAGAGTAGAAGATGGCTTCCAGAACTGTACTTGCAAACCCAATAAAGTTTGGGATGGAGCTATACTTAAAGCAGAACTTCACTCTCAATCAACATTAACTATTTTTAATCTTTATGCTGCTAGCAGTTGTAAATAGATAGAAAAGTAGATCATATTTACTTGTTTTAAATTTTGTTTGACATTTCTTCAATTACCTCCTGGTGTGCAGACCTAGGCAAATGATTTCATAGATCCCAGGAGTCTTCAGGAGGGGAGGAGGGGGTTCTCAGCTAAGTACACCCTGCTGTCTGTGTGCCTGAGCTAAGGGCAGATGGATTCTATGAGGTAAATGTTACATGATTCATCTGCCCTTACCCAAGATGGCTATGGCCAGAAATGCAAGGGGGTGCTTTTCAAAGTGATTTATCAGCAGAATAAAGCATGGTGACATGGATGGATGGGGGAGTTTGCTTTAAATGTTATAAATGAATTAAATCGTTTTTTTGGTTTGTGGTGCTCAGATGCAGTGTGGTTCCGCTTTACGTGTTACTGCATTCTTCTTGCATCAAGAACAGAAAATAGAATTATGATTTCTTTATTATGTGGTTTGATACATTATGTATAACTTAATTTATTCCCGTATTTTGTTATAAGATAAAGGATATCCTGTGTTCTGTGTACATTTTCTTCTGCTCTGCTGCACAAAAACATTTGTATGTCAAGCAGAGTGGAAGACAAATGTGCAAACAGCACTGACACAACTTTTGATTTGAATAATATGCTTTCCTTCACAAATAATCATAGTAGATAT